CAACAGCTGTGACCAGGTTATTCTCCAAGTTGAGTCTGTTCCTGTGTTTAGTCTTGATGTGGGTCATGGCGGAGAATGTCACCTCACACAGGTATGTGGACCCAAAAGGCAACAGTTCATTCCGGGCATGTTTCCTCAATTCAGGATACTCCTTCTCCACACCACACCAGAACTGTGTCAGTGGTGTGCTTGAGTACCTCATCTTCAGGCTCCTATCTGAGGACACATCTATGAGGTCTTCTTGCAGTCTGGCGGGAATGCTGCTGTTAATGCACGTCACAAATGGATTACGCACCCAGTCCAGTGTGGATTACTTGTCAATATCAGGGAAGTAGGAGTTGAACTCATTCTTGAGCTTTGACAAATGTGTGTGTGTACTATTTTCACAATTGGAGCTCTGTCACATTCACCATTAGCAATGTATGCGTTCAGCTGCAGGAAACAACTTGTATCCCCTTTTTCACATTTGCTCTGCCAGAGCTTGATCTTCTCCATGAATCCACACACTTTGTCATACAAGCTAAGAACATTTGTGTCTTTACCTTGAAGAGAGAGATTCAGCTGGTTGAGTTTGCTGAAAATATCAGAGAGGTATCCCAGCCGAGCTTGTGTTGAGAGAAAAAATTGTCAATAACGTTAAAAACGTCCTGTCCGGTAGTTCTCCCCGTGAGTTTCTTGCAAAACAGAATGTGCTCCTTCATCTCCAAAGCGTCTTTGTAACGCACAAACGCAATCAGTTGTGCTTCCCCACTGACATCCGTTGATTCGTCCAACTGCAAAGCGAACGTACCAGACGCTTTACATTTTTCCACCACTTGGTCAATAATGTCAATTCCCATGTCGTCGATCCGATGGCACACAGTATTATTTGACAACGGCACTTTCTTCAGGACATCAGCTGCTTTCTTATCGAGCATAGTTTCTGCGAGAATTATAGCAGCAGGCAAGATTAGCTCTTCGGCTATGGTAAATGGCTTTTTCGATTTAGCAACGAGTAGCGACACGGCATAAGATGCCTCCAAGGCCTTGGTTGAGACCGATGTCGCTTTCTTTAGTTTTTCTTGGCTTCCCTTAAATTCAGCCAGCTTTTGGTGGAAAAACTCTGCAGGCTTACCCACACAGGCGGGATGTCTAGTACTAAGGTGCCGATGTAAATGGGATGGTTTCATGCTATTATTAGAAAGCACGTCGCCACAGATGAAACACATTGGCTGCGGTGGCTCTGTAGTTGTGACCGTAAACCCGGAGAGCACATAATGTTCACCGAACCGACGATTCTTCACCTCTCTGTTTTCATTTTCTTGAGAACGGGTTCTCCTGATTCAGCAGTATCACCTGTGCTGTTGTTTCTGGATGAACCAGCTCGACTCAGCCATTGATCCATAATGATTATGTTAACAGAAATGTTGATCTCAATAAACATCAGCGCATTCACTTGATAGGATGTTGATATTTTGCTAGCTAGCAAGAAAACCAGCGCGCCACTACAATGATGATGATGATGTAACACCTGACAGTCCGGCGGGAAGCTGAAAGCTGCGCCAATAATAATATATATAGCCAGCAAATTATTACTTAATTTGAATGCCCCCAATTTTGGTTACATTATTACAGATTATGCATTATTCATTATTTGGGTACAGTTTTGCTGTAAACATTTTAATAAAAAAAAATCTAAAATCAAATGTTTTTTTTTTTTTTTTACTTTTCAAAATCTTTTCACGTACCCCCTGGGGACCACCCACGTACCACTAGGGGTACGCGTACCCCCGGTTGGGAAACACTGGTATAGAGGACCATGCGAGGTGTGTTAATAGTAGCTGTGTGTTTGTTACACAGGTGGGTGGTGAGGAGGTGCACCTCCCTGCTGTTCAACCAGGCAGAGGACCAGCTCCTGGCCACCGACAAATCAGGAGATGTGTACTCCTTCTCAGTGGGGGAGCCGCAGAGAGAGGGCGAGCTCAAGATGGGCCACCTGTCAATGTTGCTAGCCATGGTAAGGAGCACTCACACTGGGCTAAGACTAGCCTGCAGAACCTGAACAAATTAAACCATGTCTAAAGTATTCATTCGGTAGTATCTCATTAAGTATTATGAGAAAGAGGTTGACAGACCTGTGCACTTCTGTCCACTCCCTGATGCATTAAGATATCCAACAGTACACGGTAATTGAATCACAGAACGTGCAGTTGGGCCACTCATTTAATTTCTAATTATTATTACTCATATGCAGTTTTAAAAAATATTTATTTAGTTGGAATAAAAAAAATAAGAGGGAAATAATTATAATAGCTTGATCTTACATCACAGAGATTTTCGAAGGCTGAACTCGACTTTGACTCTCTCCGGCATGTTCAACTTTACCTTTGCTTTTCTAGCCTTTACCTTTATCTGTCTGCATTCACTTCAGATGTGAGAACTTCTATTGTCACAGAAATGTAAGACTTCTAATAAGATTACTTTTTTTATATAAGTTAACACATTACAAAAAAACAACATACAGGTCACGAGAGGCAAAACCGCACATCAATATGTCCTCAGCAATTTGTCCTGTGCACCGTCCCTCAAAACGGGTTCACAACAAATCTGTGTCGATTCATTCTCAGAAGAGGCTTGTAGATACATGTACGAAACATGAGCAAGTAAATCCCATATAGGAAATCGGAAAGAAGTAAAAGATTCATTGTACCAGAACATTCTCCATGGATTTTACAACAACCCTCTTGATGTGTAAAACCCATTTGGACCAGTAATTGTCAAATGTATCACTACAGAGTCTTAAAGAAAAAGTATGTTTCTCCATATGAAACAAGTCATTTACAATGTTTCTCCATTCTCCCTTAGTTGGAGGTTCTTTCACAGTTATTTTAAGAAATTGCTTTTTCATTAGCTATCAGCAATGTTTTAAGAAGATACTTGTCCCGAACATTTAATTCAACTGGTATTAATAATATAATTTATTTAGGTTATTATCGATAGCCAATAATATTGGATTACTTGGCTCTTCCAGAATATGTGGAAGTGATCATCCATAATATTACTACAATGCCTCCAGCAATGTCCCTGTCACTACCTGATCTGTACCGGAAACCCGATCGGTTCTGTGCATGTGTGCAAATATTGATTTACTGTGTTATTGAGAAGGTGCCAACGTTTTTTAAAATGCTTTCGAACAACTGTTTCAACAACAACATCCAAAATATTAAAACTGCGGTCACAGACGTGCAGGCAGTTGTGGGCGGGCCTTCGCGTCCGAGCGCCTGTCGGGGAGGGTCGCCGATCGTCCCGGCGTCAAGCAGACGCGCGCGAGTCCTCCGAAATTAGCCGTTCGTAATTTCACAAATGTTCGCGTCCCGGACTCCTCGGTCCTCCGGCAGCGACCCGGAAACGTATGTGGGCGCGCCGCCTCCAAGGAAAATACATTTCTGTAAAAGGCTCGTCGACGATCGATTATCGCGGAGGCTGTCTGGAGGAGCAGTAACCGTGGCGTGTGGTGCAGTGGGTTGTGCAGACTTTCTGCCCTTAACCGTTTGTTTACTCAATAAACTCATCTCCTCTGGATATTAGGCTATGTATGTTTTTAATACAACTGCTTTAATTGTGAGCCGACATTTACAGTGAGAACAGCTGCTGAGGCCAGTGCAGAAAGCAGAACAGTGTGTATAATATATGTAACAGGCCTACATTACCAGTGTTGTGCTAGTTACTGAAAACCAGTAACTAGTTACCATTACTAGTTACTTCATTTCAAAAGTAACTCAGTTACTTTACTGATTACTTACACCAAAAAGTAACGCGTTACTGTGAACAGTACTGTGAATTAGTTACTTAAAAAAAGGGCTCCCATTAATGCCCTTATAGCCTTCATTTCAGTACTGTTATTGCATTGGAGAATAATACAATCTGTTGATCAAGAAATAGCAATATAAATAGTAGAAATAGCCTGCATGTGTTCTACAACATACCGTGCAATGGCTTTATCAACTTTTCCCTGGCTAGCAGTCCCTCGGTTAAAATCCAGCCACTGTTGCTTAGGTGGAGGTGGAGTGGCGTCGGATGAGTCTGGGTCTGTGGTCTTAGCTAGGCTACTAGCTTCGTCCCAGCATGTTGTTTTTGCAGATGTTTCAACAGATTTGAATTGCTGTTTTGGGCAGTAGATAGGATCTTTGCCCCGCCAAGACACAACTTACATTTAACTAAAACGTTCTTTTCTTTGTGCTCGATAAAAGTGAAATAGTGAGAATATCTCCAGGCGGAAAACTCGACTTGAGCTCCGCAGCCGCCATGATAGTCTTGTTAGTAAACACGCCCACAGCGCGTCTCCGCATGTGACACAGGAAGTATCTAAGAACATTTACTCAAGTACTTAAGTACAGTTCTCATCTCTGTTCGCCTCGCTGTTGGCGCCGCTCACCAACGTCTGGGAGCCGAGACTAT